AAATATTTGGAGAGGCGAGTTTTCGTTTTCCAGATTTCTTCTTGCAGTGTGACGTTCAGGGAATGATTTATGACCGACTAGAAGACTCAAGTGTCGCACCCCCAAAAAGCAGAGAATGTCCTGCAATTGACAATTGTCCATTGTATTTAAGGAGAAGATCTCGACGCCCTTGTTCCGTTTTCTTACCTCCACTAACCAAACCTGAACGTGCCCTGAAACTAAGCAAATATTTATTAAGCGAATTAAAGTCGCGTCTCACAAATTGCCGGCAAATCCCCCGAATACAAATGACTGGAGATTTCTCATGAGCAAACATTTGATGCAGGTCATTTCGACACCGAAACAGTTGCCCCGTGACTCGGCAGCTTCCACTAACGAATTATGCGCTCTAGCGCCTCGAGTTCTCCAGCCAAATCTTCTGACATCATTAGTCAAAGCTTTAAGCCGATTTAATCAATAGCAATGGCAAGACGAAGTAGAAAAGCCTTCCTTGTTCCAGTGTTTACGAAAACCAAATTGCGTGTCCTTCAGGTCTGGCCGAAAAATTAAGAAAATTAAACGAAGCCTCACGTGCCATATGCAATACATAACCACCGTCTAACCAGCTGGTCTTACCGCTTCAAATTTCGGCCAACATACTGCAGAAATGGAAAACAAAAGGGCGGCCGAGAGGAACTGCTACTCATTAAACAATTACTGTACGCTTTTTATTACTGGTTCCTTTTTTTTGTGGTTTTTGCTTGGCAACTTTTGGCCTTAAATCACACCACTTTAAGACGGGATAATAAGAACACTTTTAGATTCACCATTATGTATTTTCGGACATGAAAGCGAGATCAAAAATTTCGACGCGGTGCTTCAATGTAACCAAAATGATAAATGAGTATACAAAGTACATGACCCATCGTAAGAACTTAAAAAAAATGATTGCAGCTGCTTATGGATGACATAAATGGGAGAAATTATACTCAAATGCATTGCAATAAACTAACAAACCCCAAGAGAGCGTTAGCAAATACAAGCCAATCATTACATATGTGTATATTCATATTTAATTTATTTAATTTAATAATATGTGGTTTGTGAACCACTTCTCAAGTAGCCATTTGATAAAATATAACTTCAGTGCATTGGAATATATCTCTTTAAAAGTTGTGTGCCTTGCTTATGCCATACAAATTTTAATTTCAGCATTTAATTAAATTTACCAAAGCAACTTTGAACAAATTTGCAAAGTCAAATCCGCATTTTTCGACAGCGAACAAGTGAATTAAGCGTTGCAAGACGGCAATCAGTTAACGTTTAATCGCCATTTTGCCAGATATATATTATGATTCCAGTTTTCCGTTATCTTACCATGTCTAATCGCAATTTGGTCTATCAGGCCTGTTTCAGTTTTCACTCGGATATTAATTTGATAACATTTTCGGATTTCCCTTAAACATATTCGAATTTCCCTGCTCCCTTCCCTTTAGTCCCTTTTGATCCCAAGCAAAATCAGCTGACTGGCAACTGGCAAAGGCGTGTGATTACTCTGAGTTTTGCTGCTGAATATATTTTGGAACGCTGATAACCCTCAGCTAATGTCCTTAATGGTGTACTAGTTTAACGCATAAAATCGAAGTGCCTGGCATAAGCGGTCACAAATACAAATTAAATAAATATTTGTATTTGTGAAAGCGGGTGATTACAATTACTATTACAATTATTTGAACATCACATGCTATTTAACCAGTGCTGAAATCTTCTGGTGGCAGTGCTGTGAACTATTAACATGTAGTGGGGAGGACCAGAGTTTTCCAATATTACTACATTAAATTAAACGGTAATAAGTTCAAAAACACTTTCAATATAAACTCAGATTAAATACCTTTCTAACCGTACTTAAGATTACACAAATTCGCAGGAACAAGAAATTAGAAGAAGAAAGGCGGGCTCACAAAAATGATAAGGGCTGAATTCGAACTGAATCTAAAAGCAACGCCAAAATAATTTTTGTAAAGTCAAATACGTTATTATACACTTTTAAATCACAGCTTGCAACAAAAGAATTTTTTAATTAAACTCAATTAATTCCAAACTCTATTGAAAAACCTTGTCAAATATTATCTACATAACTATTTTGAGCCATCTACGTCGCGCGGCATCTACCGTTCGATTTTAGAACTTGTAGCTTCTACATGTGAACTAGATATACTTTCTACAAATGTTTTTGGCGCCATCGAGCGGCAGGAAGCTAACTTTATGTTTACCACATTTTTCCATCAATCTGGCAGCCTCGTTAAAATAAAAATAAATAGATGTCGCGGAAGCTTAAAAACCACTTATTAAATAGTGTAAGATTAAAATATCTATTTCTTATTTAACAAGAAAGAAAGCAAACTTCGGCAAGCCGAAGTTCATATACCCTTGCAGCTATTGCAAGAATTAAACATTTTTGAAAACATTAAAATTATAATTTACTTGCGTATAAGTTTAAAAACATTGAAGCTATGATGATTTGCAGCTCAATTATTTGATAGTTATTTTATATATTTTTATTGTTCCTATGGGAGCTATATGATATAGTCGTCCGACTTTGATGAAATTTAAACCGTAAATCGAAAATATTTAACCATTACTAAATGTCGAAGAACTAAACAAAAAATTAAAAAACAGAAAAGTTATAATTTTTTTTCATTTATTTTTCCGATTGTTTCTATGGGAGCTATATGCTATAGTCGTCCGATTTTGATGAAATTTTTACCATAATTCTGAAATATTTAACCATTGCTTTATGTCGAAGAACAAAACAAAAAATTAAAAAACAGCAAAGTTATAATTTTTTTTCAATTATTTTTCCGATTGTTCCTATGGGAGCTATATGCTATAGTCGTCCGATTTTGATGAAATTTAAACCATAATTCTGAAATATTTAACCATTGCTATATGTCGAAGAACTAAACAAAAAATTTAAAAACAGCAAAGTTATAATTTTTTTTCATTTATTTTTCCGATTGTTCCTATGGGAGCTATATGCTATAGTCGTCCGATCCGGCTCGTTCCGACTTATATACTACCTGCAATAGAAAGACAACTTTTGGGAAAGTTTCATGCAGATAGCTTTAAAACTGAGAGACTAGTTTGCATATAAACGGACGGACAGACGGACAGACGGACAGACGGACAGACGGACATGGCTAGATCGACTCGCCTAGTGATGCTGATCAAGAATATATATACTTTATAGGGTCGGAGATGTCTCCTTCACTGCGTTGCAAACTTCTGACTGAAATTATAATACCCTCTGCAAGGGTATAACAAGAAGGGAAGCAAACTTCGGCAAGCCGAAGTTCATATACCCTTGCAGGTATTGCAAGAATTAAATATTTTTTAAAACATTAAAATTATGATTTACTTGCGGTTATGTCTAAAAACATTGAAGCTATGATGATTTGCAGCTCAATTATTAGATAGTTATTTTATATATTTTTATTGTTCCTATGGGAGCTATATGATATAGTCGTCCGATTTTGATTAAATTTAAACCGTAATTCTGAAATATTTAACCATTACTATATATCGAAGAACTAAAAAAAAAAATAGAAAACAGCAATGTCATAATTTTTTTTAATTTATTTTTTTGATTGTTCCTATGGAGCTATATGCTATAGTCGTCCGATCCGACTCATATACTACCTGCAATAGAAAGACAACTTTTGGGAATGTTGCATGCATATAGCTTTAAAACTGAGAGACTAGTTTGCATATAAACGGGCGGACAGGCGGACAGACGGACGGACAGACGGACAGATGAACAACCGGAAAAATAAATGAAAAAATTATAATTCTGCTGCTTTTTACATATTATTTTTTGACTTATAGTAATGGAGAAATATTTTAGAATTTAGAATCCGATATATCGGACCTTGAGTCTTTTTTATTAAGAGAAATATTATATTCCTAAGAGCACTGAAGTCATTAAAGGTTGGTTGAATAGAAAAGTAATTGGTCAAGACAATGCTTTGTCACACAACTAAGAATCTTATCAGCGGGTCCGAAAGGACTTTTCAAGCAAAAAAGGTCGCTGACCCTTAACTGTAAACATAAATATTATTAATGTGAGATAGGGGATAGGGATTGGGAGTGAAGCAGTGGAAAAATGTTGGAGAATAGGTTGACTGAAAAAAATGCGCAAAAGGTTAGAAATGTTTAAAGATGAGGATTCAGTTCTGTTGTCACAATTAAAAGATGAGGGTTACGCATTTGATATTCTTTTAGCATTTACAAAGGAATACAAATCTTTGGGCTCGTTGCGTAAATTCTCTGTACACTGAACAATGTAGCGATCTTGGCACAGGTCATAAGCATTAATAAACTCCCTACGGATAGAGTAGTTCGTTAAAACATCTTTCGCAGAGTTGGTTTTTATATATTTTTTATACAGCCTCAATGTTTTATTTTTGAGTGAGGGTCTCGTTGTTAACAACGATTAAATCAAGAAGCCTGTCTTAATATTATAATATTGTTCCTAACGAAGTCTATCTTAGGTAATTGAAAATCACCAATTATAATTTGATGATCCTTATCCCCATCGCCAGTTGAAGAGCCCACTTAATATATAATTATATGGCATTAAATGGAGAGAAGCATTAGGTCTAGGTAAAATGTAAGAGCAAGTTACTTACATATTAATATTCAATGGAACAGAAGTTTAAAAAATGAAAAAGCTCCGAAAAAAGTGAGTTGTTAAAGTAATTACGTCGTGATCGGTGGAAAGACTGTTACTCAGATTCCCCAAAGGGATATTAGCCCGTCCAGGAGCCCCTTGGCTTGGGAGAGGCGTATCATTGGAAAATGAAACAGCACTTGGTGCGACTGAGTTGATAGCAATTGGATCCAGTTGCCACTAAATTCAACTGTTTGGACATTCAATCCCCAACACGGCCATTGAAATGACTGAAAGCTATAGAACTAAAGCTATCACTTCGGTTATTGTCATTATAGTTTCATTCGTCCGTCATTTAGCACAAGGGTTTGTTCCGTTCCTTTCGATAAGCGAGACGTAAAAATATGTTCGTTACACCGCGTCGAAACTCCAGTGAAGGACCTTTGTGCCACTCCACACCGAGGTCCGATAGATACGAACCTCGACCGAAGCCCAACCTTCCCGTGAGCGTCTATGGCTGGTACCGAGTGCTCATATTCAGCAGCGATCGTCGACAGTCCATCAACCGAGTGATGAGGCAACTCCGGAGGAGCCTGTGTCCGCTGAAGCTGGACCCCCGTTACCTGCACTCCGGCGGGGAACCTGATGTGGCTGAGGACTTCGGCGCCTTATGCACGTTCTACGTCGACGGGTACAACATAGCGAGCGCCCTGTTTCGCCTCGGACGGCTTGATGAACGGGTGTGGCTGATGGTCAGCGACCGGATGCCCCGGATCCGGATCGATTCGGAATACCGGAGGCGGCTGAGGCGGGTGCTCCTGACCAGATATGACCGCCAGCAGCGCAGCCTGGACCTCACTCTGTTCCACAACGACGAGGCCTGGCGTGGCGAATTCTGCGCCCTAGCTCAGCCGGACTGCATGAGCACGGTGATCGGCATTATGGAGCGGGAGATGCCGGAGCTGGGGCGTTTGATTCTGGACCGGAACCACCTGACCCACCTGTGGCCCTTCGACCGAATCGAGCGGCGTCTGCCGCGGCTTCAGTGCGTCTCCCTGAAATACAACGACATCGAAAGCCTTTACTTGCTGCGCGTCTTCCGATTTCTGACCCTAGTCGAGCTGAACCTCGAGAGGAATCTGCTTCCGGCAGGCTACGAAAGGGACGTTCCATATCTATGGCCGAGCCTGGAGGTGCTCAATGAAAGTCCAGTGGAGCAAACGTACGGGTACTAGTCGGGTTCAGAAAGCTTTTGATGCAAAACAATGGTGACTACGACCATGCGGTTTGGGTTTTCTATAGAATGAGTGATCACGATCTATTAGTTAAAAAATTATGTTTTGTTGTTTCTGGTTTATTTGTGGATTCTATTAAAATTTGGTTATGTTTCCCAAAGCCGCTTGTTTTGCGACCCTTTTATAAAAAATATATAAATAATTTTTGAGTTTTTGGAAAAGATATCTGAAGATAATGGCGCACAAAAGAGTAAAGTATTAAGTAAGCTCGTTTGGGGTCTTGGCCTTTTACACACTTGAGCGTCTGTTTCTTGGGCCACTCCAATTACGTAATTTGCCTGTTAACCCAAATGTAATGTTCTTACTCAAAACCTAGAAAAGTTTCCTTTTTTCGGCGACTTTTTGGCATAGAACTTTTTACTTTTCACTTTTCACTTTGTGTTGAGCGAAAAGCTCAAAGGTGAAACGGCCACTACCGCTGCCACTGAAGTTGTCGTTATTTTGTTTCTCGAGTGCAAAATGAGTTACAAATTATTAAAAGAGACGTGGACACAACGCCTACGCAATGGCAACTGTTTTCCACTCCGACCGCAGGCTAAAAGTGCACTCAGAAAAATAGTTTGATTTCGATTTTACAAAAATCAATCTACTCGTATTGTTCGCAAAAGACTTTTGAGTCTATTGCACAACAATAAACAGATGAAATACTCGTGGAGCGACGAAATTAGTCCTAAATTAGTAATATCTTTCATTAAATCATAAGGAAATGATTTCAAAACTACACACTTTACATTGATATACTTTTGTACTCAGCAAATGCAAAACATGTTTTGAATTTTTGTCATAAACAATCGAACCTTAAGTTAAATTAATTTTTTATTGTGTATAAGTTAGACCGGCAATGAGAATGGAAAAAGTAATGGAAACAAGAAGTGGTTGCTGCGGTACGATGTTGGCCCAAACGGAAGTTGGCGCTGATGGCCGGGCTTTGGCTTTGCCAACTTCAAGATGCTGCTCCCAGGGCACGGGCCACTCGCTTTTCACTTTCTTGGCACTTTATTTTAATTTCTGAGGCGTTCCAAAGTTTCCTCTATGTTTTCTCCAACACTTCCATTCCGGCCCTGGTTAGTTGCGGCTAAGTAGAAATTACTTCAACTTGCGGCTTTGCCGACTACTTTTTTCAGGTCATCAGGGGGGCAACTTCAGGAGGTAGTCTAATGTTAAATGTTACTTTCTTCCAACAAAGCACGGTCCAGATCTGTGAGCATTACCTGCCATATCCACAAGTTGATTAGCTTTCTCAAACGAATGTTTTTTTTAAGATACATTTTTTTGTATTTACATTTAAATTTGTCGGCAGGGAACTATTGCTACTAATACTACTAAAAGAACTACTTTCTAATCCAGTTCTCATGAATGGGGCCCAGGAAAGTTAAGCTGTACAATTCATTTTTAAAAAGTAACCCCAATCTACGCTATTATTTAAACAATGTTAGGCAAATGTCTTCTGTGTCTCACAAATTAATTGTTAAATCAATTATCCCGAAACATATAAGTCTCCAACTAGGCATTACGCCTGTCTTGCTCGATAAGTCTAATCGCCTCCTGGGAGTCTTTGGTACTCAGGAAATGTCTGCAAATGTCTGGATTGCGGACTGAAATTTTTTCAGCTGTATCTGAGATTCGGTCAATAGGTTCTACAAATTGTGTGTTCAGAAATCTAAATATTAAATAAACTAATACAAAATGTGGAGTTCTGTTTCTATTAAAATTAAACTTTTTTTACAACATTTACCTGAAAGTCAAACAGTTTTTCCAAGTGCTCGTTTTTTTGTGGGCTAGTTTCGCCTCGACTTAACTCTCATGCAGCCGCCGGTCTTCAAATTTCAGCTCCTGTATGTGGAACTTATAACACTGTTGAAAAAAGCAATCTTAATTTATCAACTTTTTGAGATCTCTTTTACGAGGGTCCTCCATAGTTGTAAATAAATTGTACAAATAAAATGGATGTTCATTTAAAATGCTTAGGATGATATTAATGCGAATGTTTTGCATGTTTATTTTCCTAGCAAAAATAGTCATACTGAATTTGTTGTTTTCTTAAACTAAGATAAGAAACTTGAAATGCAATTGCAAACTTTAGCAGAACTAAAATTTTAGTAACTTTACCTATTTACCTATTTTTAGAAAAAAATGAGCTAAACTTTAATCACGTATGTCACAAACAAAAAGCGATAAAACATTAATTAGTCTAAGTTAAGTTGATGGACACTCAAATTCAAACAAAATGTTATATAAAAATGTGCAGTATGTGTGAATACTTAAAAAAAGTTGCCTTCAAAGTAAACATGAACAAGCAAATAAACATGAACAAGCAAATAACACATTATTATGTAAAAGTCTCACAATATAACTATTCTGCAGTCTCACGTTTTAAGATAAAGTGTGCAATGTATTGATTCTTAGTTTTCCACTTCGAATCCACGGACAGACAGAATGCAGAGTGTGGAGAGCATAAATACAATTTATGTATTCAAGTTTTGCGTTTTTCTTTTTCCGTTCCTTTTACTTTTTCCCGATCACCCATTCTGGGTTTTCAGGGACGACAACTGGGGGCGTGGCAGGAGCCATAAAGCTAACAAATTGCTGACACAACATATGAATGACAATATATCAGTTGTGGAACAAGCCAGCTGAGTGGCTGCTGCTGAATACCATTTGATTTAAGGATGGCACAAGTAGAAAACTGGTAACTGCTGGTATTTAAAACTTAACCATTGAATAAAACTCGCGATTTAAGTGCCCTAACCACCTATAGAACACTTTGTTTGCGTACTTTGGGCACTTCTCCAATTATCAACCACTTAGCACTTTACATTATTGGTGTAAATTATCTCTTCACTTTGTAGTGCACCTTCAAATAAGATACACGAAAAAATAACCGCAAAGCAGCCAAAATTAAAGCTTGTATAAATACAAACAACTGAATTGATACGTGTGAGCGAATTGGGTCAAGTGGAAAAATTCATTTCCGTTTCAGCCAATCCCAAAAGGGTGCCCAAACGAAAAAACAGAAAATTTATGCAACATTTTTATTGAATTCTTCGCGAAGGCCATTGCCACCGTTTTTCTTATTGTCAAGAAGGTTTTCCCATGATCGGGGATAACATCTTAGCGAAATCAACGGGGACCACCCAGCATGATGTTCAATTAATCAAATTGACACTCGTTGCGGCCACATTTCATGGCCATCTTAATATTTCAGGGTATAGAATGGCATTTGGCATTTGACATCCGCTCATCGTGCCTTAACATGTCCAATGAATGAGAAATCGCTGGGAGGTATTTGGCCGAATAGGGGAATCCCGTCCCAACCCATGCAGGAGCCCAAAACCACTGTAGTTTCGATTTGCCACATCGTTCAATATGCGACGTTTGACTTTGTGGCCCATGGAAACAAAAAACAGGAAGTGCGAGTGGCATTGTGGTCGGGAAATTGGGTTGGGTGGGTAAACTCTGTGCGTGTTTCTATGCCGGTGGTTAGGCGGAGTTCAAGTATCTGCATTTGACAGGTTAGTTGCCGTTTGCTGGTGGGGTTCTTTTCAACCAAGTACAAGACTTTACGCAAACAAAGGTAAAAACTAACTCTGTGATGTACTCATTTCAGTTGGCTAAAAATTCATTTTCCAACCAACTTTTGAAAGATTATAGTAAATTCCCGGAGATTAAAAATAAAAATCATTTCCGCCCAAACCAATAAATCAAAAAAGTCTAGGGCGAACAATATTAAGTGGCAGTTAACTGACCAGCTGACCAAATAATAATCAAGAACGATTACTGCGATTTGTCAAGTGTGCTCTTAAGTGGCGTTAAATTCATCCACCGAGAAAGTTTAAGGAAACTTAACTTACTAACAACTTTTGTAATTGATTGCAAGCAATGTAATGTGCTTTGGGCTATTACCGAACGAAAAGTATAGTGTTTAATATAGAAGCTAGCAGCAACTAGATTTACCTAAATTTATTTAACAGCTTTTGAATGAATATGTCGTCTCAATTGCAAATTGGACTAACGACTCAATTTTTTCAGCTTTGAGCAGCTTCTTTAACAAGGAAATGAAAAATCGACTGAATTTCCATTCCTATTTACAGATTTACAGTACAAAAGCTTTGGATGGAAAACGTAAACACAGTCATAATCAGCTCACAGACACCTACACTAATGCGTATACGTAATACGCAAGCCCATGTGAGCTTATAACAGGGATGCGTAGGAAATTGCAGCCTACTTTGCGGAGACGAAGAATAGGAAATAAATTACATCAAGCGTTTTAAATAGATACGCTGCCGATGGGGATATAAATGGGATTGGGAAGAAATCAAAATGTATGATAAGACGCAAACGGTAAATGTTGTCGTCCGCTTTGAAGCTCAACAAACACTTCGAACCGAAGCTTTAACTAATTATTTCAAATTGGATTTCTTTTTCAAAAAGAACCTCGTGGGAGTGTCCAAAAAATTCAGCTTTGTTGTTCCCTTGCAGATGATTCTCGCCCGTCTGTCCGTCTGTCCGCCTAGCAACTGCAAATGAGTGCTATAAGCTTACACCTCTGTGCGAATGTGTGACTGGGAAAGCCTTGCAAAAAAGGCAGCAAAGCGGTAAACCGGTAGCAGCTATATTGAGCCGAGCAGCTGCGGGCGACACCCTGCCACTTTTGCCTGAAGAAAAAACCACGCCGAGCTCAGTTTGCTAATACCGTCTCTGCGCAGAAAGAAAATTCGATGGTGTGTGCATTGATTTCATGTCTTATCGTTGTGTTATAAGATAAATGTTTTTAAAATAGGTTTTTAAAATACATTGAAGATTTGTTCAGAATCAAGCTTGGGCATACATTATATTTTATCCCAAGATGTGTTTTTATAAGACAAATTTTCAATTCAAATGATAGTAATGCTTTAAAGTGTTTTGAAATAGTGAATAAAAGCAAAAAATCATACTCGTTTCTGAAGAGACTTTTTTTAATTTCTTGGTTTATTCTTTACCTCTTTGGTAAATTTGAAATCTATTTTTAGGTTTGTATTGTATTTCTCTCAGTGCACGGTTGGGTACGCGTCACCGCTTTGCATACATATGCATTGTGGTTAAGCAATTTGCAGCAAACGAAATGAAAGTGCTAAGCGCATTGGCCGTCAGTTTTCCCCCACCTTTCCTTAGGCGGGTGTGTGTGTGTGTGGCAGGTGCGATATGGAAAAGCTGTCACATAGCTGGATGTGCGGATGTGTGGATGTGTGGCTGTGTGCGTGAGACCATGTATCTTTTTGTGCAACTCCAACTGCGGCTTGCGCTAAATTTCATAATTTTTGCCAGCGTCTGGTGCTGCCGGTGCTTGTCTGGTGTCTCGCAGTCACGTGTCATTCGTATCGCGCCATAAACAAACCCGACTTGCTGCTCCACCAGCCGCCCACTCCGTTGGCATGGAGCATCGTTTGTTATCCCCACAGTTCCCACAGTTCCCACAGCCCTTCGCCACCATTCGATTTATTTTTATGGGTCTTTCCTTCTGCACTTCTGCAGTGGGGATACTTTTTGTGGAGCTCGGCTCAACCCTCGCACTTGTTAACTGAAAATACTTTCTCATGCGTAAAATGCATGACAAGCGAAGCAGACACAGACGTGGACGCATTGAAATGAGGATGGGGACAACAAGTCCACCAAAGGTTATCAACTTTAGACATTGCATCAAATTCTGATAATTTGAAAAACCTTTTTTTTTGGTTAGTGTTTCTGAAAATCGCAGCGTCATTGATACTTTCATTAAACAGATCAAAAATTACATAATTGAATACTATTTTCATCATTTAATAAACAAGCAAAATAAAATTATTTTAATTATTTTCCAATTGAAATAGGTACAGCTATATAATAAAGTCGAACAATCAGGTGCCTTCTAACTTGCTTAAAAACTGACCATGTGCAAACATAAATTAAAATCCCTCGTACTTTGAAAGACGGTTTTATTAAAAAAATTCCACTCAAAATGTTTATTGACAATGCAAACTAAAACAACAACACAATTAAAAAAAAGCTACAGTAAAAATGGTCTCTCAAAATCATGTTTAGTTTTTACTCTTATATAAATCGGTTTCTTTAAATCTTATACCTTCTCAATAATAATTCAAAACGTAGGTGTTTAACTAGAAACTGTTCATTAGAGGCATTTTCTTCGCTTGCTACAATATTTTAGTTCGGCAGTCCGAATTTTTTAACGATTCGTGTGTCTAAAGACTTGTCGTTGACTTATGATTTATTATGTCAGTCGTTTGGAAAATAACTTTCTCCGGCAGATTACAAATCAAAACCTAAGCCCCTTTTAATACAGTATAAGTTTTTTTGAGATTGAAGGTCAAGTCTGATTGTAGAACAACTCGAACCCAACATAGTTGTTAGTAAAATTAAATATATTTTGAATACAAAATTTCGGCAAGACGAAGCTTGTATACCCTTGCAGGAATTGCAAAAATTAAACACTGTTTAATATATCTAAATTTCGAATTATATGCGAGCATGTTTAAAAACATTTAAGCATTTTTAGCTCAATCAATAAATTAAATTATTTTCCAGTTTTAATAAATTTACAATAAAATTAAAAATAAGGAACAAACATTGTTTTTTCATTTGTTTTTGAAATGTTTTGATTGTTCCCATTGAGTTATAATTTTTTCAATTATTTTTCCGATTGTTCCTATGGGAGCTTTATGCTAAAGTCGTCCGATCCGTCTCCTTCCGACTTATTAAACAACTTTTGGGATAGCTTAAAAACTAAGACACTAGTTGGCGTAGAAACGGATGGCTATATCGGCTCTCCTGGCGATGCTGATCGAGAATATATATAAATTGAACACGCTTATATTGCCATCCGCTTTTTTGCTTGTCGGTTCCCATTTTTTTGTAATATACGTGTTAATTAATTATTTATAATGTGATGTTGTCAATATAATAAAAAGAGGACAGCTCCAACTTTTTTTTGGGACCAATTTTTTAATTGCCTAATCTCCACTATTTTTGTGACACCAGCGGAATTTTTTGGTTGAAAAACCAGGCGTCCCCAACAAGGACTTTTGATAAACACAATGCAAAAGACCAACATTTTTTTGAAAGCATACTTTTACACAACTTTATAAATGAATTCAAAACCCAAGTGGTTAAATTGTCTTCCTTTTGCTTAGAAACTCACTCTTAACTTACGGATAGCTTGAGTTAATTGGTGGATAACGGCACAAAAGAAATCATTCAATTAAATATGCAATCGAAAAAAGCCAATAAATAAAAACTCGGAGAACAATGGCCGGAGCAATATCAATTGGGTAAATATTCATCGGAAAAACTGCAAACACAATGGAAACTTTCCGGCTGATGAAATATTTAAATGGTGGAGAAAAAAAAATATGCATAAAATAAACAAGATAAAGTTGCATCCGCCAGTTGTGAACAATAATTAAAAGGATCCCTAGGTCGGCGATTATAATATTTCAACTGATTCCAGCGGAAATCACTCCCCATGGCCGGGTTATTACGGTTAGAATTTATTAACCTCCACCAACAATATTTTAATTTACAAAGCTGTAAAATACCAAGACGAATGTATTGCCTGGATTTCAGAAACTTTAACCATTTGAGAACATTTGAAACATCAATCATTTGTTTGGAAAAACTGAGATGTAGGTTTCCTAAACTCAGTTCCATTTAGTATGTTTGTTTTAACAAGTCCAAACACTTAATACATGAATGACTGGAAAATGAAATGTGGATATGATTTGTTATTTAAAATTAGTGTTTTGTGTTACAAGTATTTATTTGAGGCGTAGTTGTAAAATGTCGCTTTGTTTGGCTCGTTTTTATAAGCTTTTACATTTACCAATAGAAAATATACTAGTTTTAAAACCAATGGAACAACATTTATTGAAAATAAAAAGTTTACCTTATATTATTTATCCTTTCTTATTTCTTGACATTCCCTCGATGTGCAAAAATCAACAATTGCGAAAAAGGGGCAAACTAGTAGAGTCTGTTAGGAGCCGCAGGAGAGCCTGGCAGAATAAATTTAAAATTTTCAAATGCTGGGCGAGCAAAGAGAAATGAAAAAGGCGTTGAATATGCAGTGGGATCTGGTCGAGCCGGCCTCCGAAATGGCCCAGAAGCTGGTCCAGAGCTGAGAGGATGGCTAACGAACGTTCGGGCGGACAATGTCCTGGGCGGCCAAGAGTTTATCGCTGCACAAGTTTTATGTTAACACTGGCCACAACAAGACCAATGGTAATAGCAATGGCAGGCGAAGAGGCAGCAGCTGCTTGACTCCTTTTTTCGGACACTTTTTGTCTGCTTAGCTCCCGAAAGTGCCACAAATATGGGGCAAAGTGTGGACTCTGCCAGGCCCAACTCTCTCGCCTGATAAGTAAATGAATGTGGCAAGCTGTGGGGCGCGGGCGCAGTTTGCTGTATTTTCAATCATCAAGTATGAGAAAGCCAGCCATGAGGGTGTTATTAATGTTGCGTTATCAGCAGGTCTTCCCCCCCCCATGACGTAAAATTCATCGTTCCCTTAATGCACTGTTAAAAAAGGCACTAAACATAAAAAGAAAAATAAGTATATTTGAATATATTTTTTGTATAATTGAACTCTATTTTTGAATAATATATTCCAAGGTCAGTTAAATCGGGGGGTACTAAAGAAATCACTAGGCCTGAAACCACTGGCAAAAATATTATAAAAAATCTAGTCTGGAAGACTCATAGATTCATCAAAGTCTTTTAATAAGACAAATCGATTCTCATCTCAGTATCGATTTGGATGTGACATGTTCTGGGTTTGAAAGTGCTTTTTTTCAGTGCTTTCACCGCAAAATGCACAGCCGGAGCAGCAAGAGCCAACAAGCAACAACCGGCGACCGACAACCAACAACCATCGCGGAGCAGCTAGAGCAGCTGGAGGAGCCGGAGGAGATTCGGCCATGAGGATGCAGATTCCCGCTGCTGCTCCGTGTTGGCTGCATAAAAACCCAGAAATTAGCATAATTTCAGGCACTCGGGCTGCGATGGCGCAACACTTGCGACCGCAGATAAGGCGCAAAATGAACGCATAGCGTCTTCTCTGCATGTGTTTGTGGGTGCGAGTGTGTGGCGGCTGTGTGTGTGTGTGTGAGTTGGGGTGGTGGGGGTGTACACACACACACACACATAACCGAGTGGTGGGCGCGATGTTCATCGCTTGTTGTTTCGGCAGCATTGTGTAAAACTTGCGGCATATGTGGATACCCGGGCATTAGGCAACGAATTCCGAACTCCCTTTTACCCGAACGGGCTCAAATACCCAAAAAAGGGCCGAAAGCGTTTTTAGCTTAATTATATTTAAACTTGACTTAGTCATCAGTCATTAACAGTTTAAAGTCCTTTGATCTACTTTTGCGTTTGTTAAGGGAAACATGTAATGAGCATGAAAATGTAATTTAAACTCCCAAATCACATAACATTTTTCAAGACCAATCAAAACAATCATGATTGACTATGTTTTATTAAGGTTCTTCAAGCAGTCTTTAAAAAACTACATAGTGCATTTAAAATTCGCCTCGTTAAGCATTTTTCTGGTCCAGAATTCCAGAATTCCCCACTGCACTGCACATATTCCATTGTAATGGTACAAAGCGGCATAGGATTTCCATAAAAGCACAAAACGGCGAAATGCGTGGCAGAAGATCTTGGACAAGAAAAGTAACCTGCGGCATACAGATTTGCTGTTGGGGTTTTCCAGTGGGACAAATGAAGGGGCAACTGCATATGCATGAGGCTGTCGCTGGGGAAGAAGTTCACCCGGCTAGATTGCAAAGTTTCGATTGACAATATTTTATTTATTATCGATCGTTGGGGCACCGAATAACCCACAGCTAATGCAAGTAGAACACCTCGTTGAAGGCCAACCTTAAAGCCTCCCTCAGTCCCAGTCCGTACAACATGCCGTAGATGAGCTTCATGTCCAGTGAGCTTAGATCAAATCTTAGTGAGAATGATCTGGGGCTGTGGTGATGGCGATGCCTCAGACCCAGATACTGCTGAAAATGCAGTTGAGCTCGTTCCCAGTGGCGTCGTTCTGAGAACAATCTTCTCCCCTCGGGCCCCTCATTACTATTGATGGGTAACCGAAGCCAGTTTCCGATGACCGGCATATAGGAGTCCCGTCGCAGTTGGCGCCTCAGGCTGAAATCCGTCTCGAACAGGTAACCAAATCCGGTCGGTGGACTGCCCACAGTGTTCCTTAGTCGGCTGTAGAAGGCCAGACTCCGTTGCAGGCTCATCTTGCGCAGAAAGTGGGTGCGGCGGGGCGGGCGTGTCCGAGGCCGTTGATCCGGCGCCATCAACATCGGCTGGCGGGAGGGCGGATTTGGGCGGCTATGGCGGGGGCGTTGCACGTGCGGCCCATCGCCGATCAACGTGATTTCCGCCACACAGGTGGGACTTGGCCTGCTCCAAATGCTCGGAGCGCTGGCCCTGGTGGTAACAGGCATGTCTGATGGCCGAGATCTGACGGCTGGGCCTTGCAACCCTTTCAAAAACGAGTAATTTCGGAACGGACTGATCGAATGTTCAGCAAAGGCCAACTGGATCCGGGGGCACATCTAAAAGAATATTAATCAGTTACATTGCTAAAAATGGGTTGTGTAATTACATTTACATTCAAACATTGCTAAACAGATCGAATTTCTTGTTTTTAGGGTTAATTTTATTTAGAGTTTGGGACTTATCAATAAAAAAAATATTTGAAAATTATCTTGTTTTTTCTAAAGCCATTTTAAAACCGTCTTTTTCATGGGCCACACTGTGGAAGGAAAAAAGACAGTGCGTGACGTAAACTTCTAAAGCTACAAGGACACTGACTTAGATTACATCGTTTCTGCGGTGATCTGAATTCCCAGGGTACTGCAATTAACGGCTGAGGCATATGCGGGACCTAGGATTACTTGTTCATATCGAAATACATACAGCACTGATTAAGCGTTTGACTGTCATTCCAGCAAGCAGCTCTGATGCGACCCTACGGGTATTGATGCTGGTGCTCGTGCTACTCGAATTGCACGATGAACAATCCGTTTGCATGCCGCCCGGATGCCATATACCATATGCCCGCCATGTTTGAGAATTCCCCACAGTGCGTCATCGGGCTGGGCCACTGCCTCGCACTCACACCAACGAAGCCGCTGCCTTCATAATTCAGAGTGGAAAGTGGAAAAGTCGACTGGTAAAATAAATGATGAAAATCAGTTCCCAAGACATTCCAATGGCATTCTATTGCTTGCACACAATAAACAATTTGCCTGCTGATTTCCAGCATGAATTGAGATGTCAGCAGTCTGCACTCGAGTCGAGCAACCATTAATAATTGACTTGGCGCAGCCACACGGGTGTATGGATAACATTGCTTGCAAAATATTTTTGATTGGCCACGGCCACGCCCCTTTTGGCACCATTAATTTCAATGCACTTGACACTAATTAAAATCCCCTGGTTGGTTAATTTAAACGCTGGCAAGGCCGGTCTTCTGATATTTTCCAGCCGCAGTGCCTCGATTACCTGAGCATGTTGGCATAAATTAACTGCTCCTTTTATCCCCATGGTGATGGGACTCCAGCTAATGTGAATGTGTGTTGTCAGCCAGATGTTGCCGTGTTAAGCTGGTCCAAGGTCTCTAAGGGAGTGCTTATCCCCTGGACCAATATACTTTTTTGTGTTCGTTTGGTTTTTGCCGTCAGCTCGAGCAGAGAATGACAAACATAAGAAAAAACAATAGCTGGTTTTTTGCTGGATTTTGAAAAATACGTTGCTAATAATTGCTAAAAATTCTTATTTTGGTTAGACAGACGGATACGATAAACAGTTTAAGGTTAAATACACCTGACAATGGGCTTCACTAGAACACGTCTGTATCATTTGACGGTTGAATTGGTAAAGAATGAGGGCGGAATAAGGAGAGTATAGCTAGTCTAGATCCAAAAATTTTAATTACGTTTTCCTGACGTTTCAAACTTACCAATATCGAGAGCGACTTTACCCCTTAGCGATACGTTATATACAAACCTTCCGAAAAACACTTAATCCGAAAGCTTTATTTAAAAGATTAGATTGGTTTAGATTGTATTAATATATGCAAAATGTTCCCTTATATGCATTTTAAGCGCTACTGCTTAGTGTGAGGGAACACAGTTTCTACCACTATTATTGATTCTCTCCAGATTGTTGTATAAACATAAGCTGTTCGACCACAAGCGGCACTACAATAAGAATTTGTAACAACAAACTTTTAATTTAAAAATACTTTAGAGTCTCCAAAGGCCAATTCACGGAGTTCCATAATTCACTTGGAGGTCGTTTTATACCAGCAGAAGACTATGTCAATGTCTTGTCTAGACAATGTCAAGCATACGCACTGGAGATCTCGCCTTTTAATCCCAAAGGCAAACAACTATATAATGCATTCATAAAAACATGCAACAAGCTGGACTAAGTTTGCAAGGAAGCTTTCAGATTTAATTAATTTTGCTGTGACATAAAACTTCTCTCGCAATTTAATAAGTGCACAACCGCTCTCGGACATTTTATCGGACCACTCACGCTATTAACATTTCTTAAAAGCCCGGAAGTAATCGAGCACTTTCACAGGCTGACGTCACACAGAACCAACTTGTTTAAATTTGCCAGAAACTTGTGTAGTACAAATAGCCATAATTATGGGAACATTTGCCTTTTCAAAACACAGCTTTACCAAAAGAAACTCTTCTTTCTACCTGTTACATACTTTTCAACGAATAAAATATATCCTTTTATTCAATGTGTAACGTGTGTAAAAATATAGCCATGCTATTTTGCAATTTATACGATGGATTAATGATTAAGCGCTTTAATTTAATTTATAGCCGGGGCAATGATGTCTGTAGCTGTACGCATAAAAATCGAATTGAAAATTCCGATCGGATTATCACAGATTTTTAATTTTCCGGATATTTATACAATAGTAGTCGCCCCCGTACATAAACTAGATTCGATAAACGACTTAAATTGTTGTTTTCATTAAACTTCTTTATTTCTTAGCAAGGTGTTTTAATATCTAAGACCCAATCCGTATTTCTGCTTCTTTTTCGCCACTCTTTGTAGACTCTAAAAAGGACAGCATCGTTGAAGGCCGTTTCGCTTTTCCATAGGTCCACAGCATGGCCCGCAAGGTCCACAGGGTCCACAGCATGGTCCGCAGGGTCCACAGGGTCCGCAGCAGGGCCCACAAGGTCCACAGCAGGGTCCACAAGGCCCGCAACAAGGTCCACAAGATCCGCAACATGGTCCACCCGGTGCACATCCCATGATTAATACGTAAGCCTACTAATTGAATTTTAGCACTCTTGTTAATAGTTGTTTTTTTTTTAATATACCTACTGGTATGAGCAGAAAAAAAAATTTGCCTCGGACTACAAATTTAGATGCTTTTGGGCTTGAAGAAAAATGAAAACTGATTTGCTTCATTTGTAAATGGCTTAAGGAAACTAGAAAACAGGATCATAGCCATCTATGATTTCCAAAAAAATAAATACCGAAGTTAATACAGCGTTGCAGCTATTTTAAAAATTAAATACTCTGTGAGTGTGTTTTCATCTATCATCATCTACCTATATTTAGAGGTTATAGAGTTCTTAAGTCCTCTGCTGCAGCCCTGCCGTCGCTCAGCCGGTGCTCGGCCGATGCTCTGCCAGTGATCGCTAACGTATAGAGACAGGAAAATAAAACTGTTATCGTGGGGTGGAGGTGCTGCACACTCTGAGCTTCTAAGGTTTTCTATGCAGCTCGACAACATTTTTTAGCTGCGTAACGGGAATCTAATAGACGGGGAACTCCATTATACCGTCATTTCTTGTTTTTGTGTAAAATTTGTTTTTTAGTGCACACACATAAGAATGAATAAATCCAAATATAGCTGGCTGTGGAAATCACAATTCAACTTTCAAGCTCATATACCGATGCTAGTTTCAGATTTATATCATTCTGATTTAGACTCTTGTTGGGACTACATCAAAATTTGTTGTCTTGTCTCGAATTATTTTTTGTTCGGTAAGTAGTTAGTAGGAAAATGTTTTTACGGACCAATTTTATTATGTTTTGCTCTATTTTAGATTTGTACGATCACCATGTGCTGTGGACCTTGTGGACCGTGCTGCGGACCATGCGGATTTGGCTGTGGACCATGTGGACCCTGTTGCGGGCCTTGTGGACCACGTTGTAGACCGTGTGGATCATGCTGCGGACCTTGTGGTCCCTGTGGACCTTGCTGCGGTCCATTCGGCAGTTGCTGTGGAGGATGTTGGTGCTAACGCTTCTGAAACGAAGACCAATCCACACACAATGTTTAAACCAACACCTGATACTTTCAAACAAAATATAGTATATGGGACGCGGCAACAGTAATAAAAATGTATACTTTCCAGATCCGTATTGTTTAGCTAAAACCTTCTTTACCTGAATATTTTAAATCAATTCTTGATACCCTTCTTTCAAAAGGATTGTTTGAAAGGGGTGTTTCGGAAACATATTGTAGTAAACCAGACTAAAACTGTCGCTGCTCTGCCGGGATGTGGGTTCTGCACGCTCTTAGCTTCTAGTGTTTGAAAAAAAGTTTTTTTTACCTTAATTCTAGGTTGCTAAAAACAAAAAAGGGGCTCGGTTTTTAAAGCTTTATCAGTCTGCAGGCGCTTGAAAATGTAAATTTGCTCTGTAACAGAAAAATTCCTAAATATTAATCCAACACGTTTGTATTACAAACTCATATCTATTATGTCAAAAAGAACTACAAATTGTATTTGCAACTCTTCGTCAATGCTATCCGCCTGTAGATTAATCATCTGTCATAAAACAATTGAGATCGCAACAGCTTGAAACAAAAAGAAAATTTTCAAATTGTAAAGTGAAAATCAAAGTTAGTTTTAGGTCTACAAATATAAGCGTAGGATTGCTGCGTTGCGATATTAATTAAAACTAAATTTAATAGTAATCGGAGCCGCTCAACTATTTAACCAAAAATATTTTCACCCACCAAAAATAGTTTTTAAATTCACTCCATTTTTTATTGTCTTGGTCCACGCTTTGAGAGGAGTTTGCTCTGCGTATGGTCTTAAGCTATTTTTAGCCGTTTATTGGAACGAGATGTTCACAGGACTTGTTGTTTAGCACCCACATCCTCCGCAATAAGGCCCACAAGGACCGCAGCAAGGGCCACATGGTCCACAGCCTCCGCAGCAAGGACCGCAAGGTCCGCAACAAGGTCCGCAGGGTCCGCAGGGGCCACAGCAAGACCCGCAGGGGCCACAGGGTCCACAGGGTCCACAAGGACCGCCACATGGGCTACAGGGTCCACAGAATCCGAGGGGTCCACAACACATGATGGATTCGTAAAGTTCTAAAAGAAGTTATAATAGATTTCACTCCCTAATATATCTTCTTATATATACTCACTTTGAACCGAACAAAAAATAACTTAAGACGACCAAAAAATTTGATGATTACAGGCCGAAAGGTTAAACAAGAATGCTGAAACTCTGAATATCATATTGGGATGAAGGTTTGATAACTCAAAACAAAATTTCATGGGACACTAGATTACGAATTTTGTGATAAACTGTATTAAATATTTATTTTATCGCATTACCTTAGAAATTTCAAATCACTGCTGTCAAATGTAGCTTCGGTTTGCTACGGTAGTTCTCGTCAGTTCTCTATTACATCTTCGATAGTGAGCACCAAAATTTTCGGTGGTTACAAGTTTCCTTTGGATCCCGGTTGTCAAGAATTGCCCTAAAATTAAAATCATGTACATGTACGTCAACCCGAATTACGTCTTGGTTGGGGTATGTATATTGGCCTTATGTTTCAGTACATTTGGTGGGCATAAATAATTTTTTTTGCTAGGGCCCCTGCTGCGGTGGATGTGGTCCCTGTGGCGGTGGCTGTGGTCCATGCTGTGGTCCTTGTGGTGGATGTGGCCCCTGCTGTGGGCCTTGCGGAGGATGTGGACCTTGCTGTGGCGGCACCAGCATTTTTTGTGGCTGCGGTCCCTGCTGCTGATCGAGATAACCGGGAAACCTACGGCACAACTTGAGGCTGCCATGTAAATCTCGAAAATAAAACTGGGGAAATTAAATTGGTTGTTTATTTGAAAGTCTTGGCATATAGCTCCACATAGATGTGTACAAAAGCTTGCCACTCCTGGCTGCGTGTCGTTTTCATTGGGCTTATATTATTGATACTTTTAGATTTTAGAATTTTTATTTTCTTCATGTTAATTACTTTTGCGAGTGGATTCCTTTCTTTAACGCTTCTGTGGTAAAAAATCGTATACCTATAGTTTGAAATAAAATTGATTTTCAGGTTGAAAATGCTTGATATTTTATCTTAGTTCCAAAGCTATCTGAAAGAAAATAGCAACACTCGCAAAAATAGATGACAAAATAAATAATTTACGAAAATGTATTTACTTATTCAGAATAACAGCTGCCATATGATTTTATATTATTTTTGTATTAGTTGCAAGGGTATATATAATAAACCATAGCTGAAACAGAAACAATCGGAAAATCAATAAGAAAATTCAAACAACTTCTTTGCTCTGTAATATATCATATATTGTAATTTTTAATGATTTTAGACAAAGGTTTTTAATTATCGAAGCTAGTTTCATTTTTGGTTTGTTTCTGACGAAACTAAAACTTAATTGTGACACTTTTTCTTTTTCTTTTTTTCTGGTTTAATAAGTTCAATTTTTCTGTCCATTTACATGTTAATTGTTTTATGCAGAACTATATTCAAAAGTAAATCAATAATATAAAATCAACACCACGAGACATACAAGTTTTTTAAAATTTAACGATCAAGGAAATTTCATAGTTGTATTGGACAAAAAATAGTATCGCAATTGAGTTATAAATCTAGTTTATTAGCCATATTTTGATTTGTGTATGTATATTTGTATATTTGTATATTTGTAGGTTCCGTACACCTTAAATCGGCTGTCCCTGTCGGAGCTTTGCATGAGGCATTGAGTAAATCAGCTTGTTCCAGAAGTTTGGATGACTCCTCTCCAGATAGGTGTTGAACACCATGTAGGCCCTCAGCTCGCTGTCGAGGCTGTCGAAGTTCCTCACATCCGGATAAAGGACGACGATCAGGCGCTTGCACCTGTCCTGGGATGTGGCGTGCAGGGCGAGGCGGAACTCGAGTCGGCCCCAGGTGGACCTGATGAAGTTGTCCGTCATCAGGATGATGATGCGTCGCGAGTCCCTGACAGACCTGCCGATGCAATCTGGAATGGATTCGCCCACCAACCAGTCGCGCAGGTAGAAGCAGAGTCGGAACCGGGGTTTTCCGAGTTCCAGCTTCTCCACGAACTCCTCCACCAGCGCCTCGTCCTTGTGGGTGAAGGCCAGGAAGGCGTCAAACTTCTTTGCCTGGTCGAGTTCCCGTCTGGCGGCCAGACTCAGACAGACGTTGTGCTCGTAGAACCAGACCAGAAGCGGCTGTCTGAAGCATATCATGAAGTTAATGGCAACGATCACGGCTGCGAGGGAGATTGCGAGAGCCAAATAATAAGCGAAACCAGAAGGACATATCACATCTTGATCTATCGAGACGACCTTAAGCCCAGTGGAGCAGCTTATTTCAGTAAAATCTACAATAGATGACGAAATACTTTTCATGAAATTGATATTTTCTATATCCTTGCAAGTGCAGGACCACGGATTGTTAAGCAAGACCAGCTTTAGCGGCGAGAGCAGTGATCTTTTCGCAAAAAAACTACGGTCCTTCTCAGTAAATGCGGTGATATTGTTGTTGCTTAAATCCACATAGGTAACCTTCATGGACAGCTCAGGAATCCTTCGAAGTCCTTCGCTGTTGCAATCGATTATGACGGACGACGATGTTGAGCTGTCCAAGCAACAGACACAAGCATCGGGACAATCCGCTCGAGATATATTGCATCGGCCCAAAGTAAGTTTATATTCCAACGCTTCGTTATCTCTCAGAAATGAAAGGATCGATCTCGATTTACAGTCGCAATTCCAGGGATTGCCGGACAGTTTCACTTCAGAAATGTTTTTAAATTCTTTTAGGTAACGAGTCACCTTATCATCAAGGGTTTCCAAACTATTTTTACGTAGATCCAGATACCTAAGGATCTCCGGAAGCATGTCAATGGTTATTTTGGATATATTATTGTTCGATAAATGCAGTTCAAGTTGGTTGGACATATTATCCTTTTGTGTAAACGAACGATTTTTAAGGATAACATCTGGAAAGTTGTTAACAAATTTGTTACTGCAATCGATTTTTAAAGTTTGGGTAGCTCGTCTATGACAGCATTCACATTTATAGGGACAGGCCACCGCCATTTTATGATAATAAAATAGCTCATATTCGTTGTTAACAACAGCTAATTTTTTATGAAACCATTCCATATGCTTAAAGATGCTCATTATTTTATTTAATTTGTTCAGTTTTTGCAGCATGCTTGTCACAACTTGATCTTCATAAATCAAAAAGTATGTTTGCTTTATTACGCCAAGTCTAAGAAAGTGTTGACCCAAAAACTTCATAAACCCTTTATTTGACGATGACAGCTTTACAAATATTGGTCGAACTTCAACTTTTCTCATCCGAATTATCATTTTAAGATTTTTAAATAAATGAAGTAAAGGTTCGTCATCACAATATGCAATCCATTTATTGCCTGTCTGTTTAAATATTATGACTTTTTTTATATATTCGATTATATCTGTGTTCATTTCAACAATTTTGTTAAAACTAATATCGAGATAATCTAATTTTGTAGGAAGACGATTTATGCTCAAGCTTGTCAACGTGTTTCTGGAAACGTCAAGTTTTTTTAACGTGTTATATCCAGCTAAAGTGCTGTTCGGCAATCGGGATAAGCTGTTGTTGTAGAATATAAGGTTTACACCTCCGATGATGGGTGTAGGTAGAGGAGGAATTAAAGAGAGACCTCTGTTGCTGCAGTTGATTTTCAGCTCCAATTCTTCGTAAATGTATCGGCAATCACATACAGCAGGACACTCTATGCCATTTGTTCCACGAATAAAATTACACCAACTTTGGTTGCATGTTAAAGCAGTCAATTTCTCATACGGAATATAATTCCGTACTTTAACTAATTTAAGCTTAGCAAAATTCTTCAATGATTTCATATCCACCTCGTTGTTAATGTCCAGTACCAAATGCTCAAGACTTTTTTGGAGAGAGCTAAAAATATATATAAATTTGTACATGTATATATTGGTATATTGCAAAAAAGGAAAGGAGTTCGCCCCATATTACAGTCTGGTTTTTAAACCTTTTTTTTGGGATTTTTTTGTTTCACCGGAAAACCTAGAACTTCAATAGTTTTTTTTTATATGTTTGGTAACATCTTAACTACAAATACATTTATATTTTTTAAGTACCTAATGATTTGGGACTTATGAAGCTACAAAGTGGCCTTGTTAAAAACAAGAATGGAAGCAAACTTCGGCAAGCCGAAGTTCATATTCCCTTGCAGCTATTGAAAAAATTTAATATTATTATAAATAAATATTCTTGTTTTACATATACTTTGTTGCAAATAAGTAAACACGTGTATCAGGTTTTTTTTGTAAAAAGAAATATTTTTTAGTACGAATATTACCAATTTTTGAAAAATACAACATAAAATACCCTTTGAATAAAATTTTTATCTGCGTCTGTAGTGGTCATATCGACTTAATTTTTTTTTTGCATTTATATCTCCATAACTTATTCCACCACCAGTTCCTTTAAAAATTTCGTCAACGAATACAATATACTCTTTTACTCTACAAATAACGGGTATAATTAAGAGTTTATAACTACATTTACCGAGTAATAAACAAAAAAAAAGCTAAATGTACTCACTTTATAAATGAAAATTTTTTTATTGTACACTTGGAGAGCACAAACTGCTTTAAGTTACTCAAGTGAGAAAAGGTTTTAGGTGTAAGGTTCTCAATTTTGAGTCCCGTAAGTGTTAGTGATGTTATATTAAGCTTCCCTTCAAAAATATTTTCGTCAATCATAACAGTTTTATTCCCAGATTCGCTTCTCCTGTCAATTTTAATTTCATTTATATTATTCATTGATCCTTTTACATAATCGGTTATTTCAGAAAGGGAAGACATATTTTCAAAATTCAAAATAAGAGATCTTGGTCCATCAATGTAGTGAACATTTCTTTCTATAGCTTCAAATGTGTTCAGTTGTTTTTCGAAGCGAGTCACTGTTTCCACGCCAAGTTGTCGAAGGTAGTCAACTCCTCGTACTTTACGATAAGTGTCTGATACTATTAACTCTTTTAGCTTCACATTGCTTTTTTTGTTGATTGGTGTAAGATTAGAGATCTGTGGATTAGGAATACTCCATTTAATTTCTAAATAGCCGTCTCTCATAATTAAAGTGTATTCATTAGTGATAACAAAATTAAGATCCTCGTTGTCGCAAGTTTTTTGATTCGTTGAATCGTTGCAGACGCCGTTACAATATGTCTCACAATAATCTTGTGGAATAGTTTGTAAAAGCTTTCTAGTCTTTGTTTTACACACAACAATACTTTGACATATTAAAATTATAACAAATATAATCCTGAATGCTCCCATGTCTCGATGTGAACTCAACGAACGTTTGATTTAAACAGCACTTTCTTCCTCAAGCCCGCAAATTTAAAACTTTTGTGGCAACATAATGAGTCCCACAACTTCAATTATTATTTTTGAAAGTAATTAAAACATGAAAAAAATTCAAATTCCGGCAAGCCGAAGATTATATATCCTTTGAGCTATAGAAAAAATTAAATATTCCTTAATGCTTATGCTTTGATTTATACGATTTTCAACCCAATTATTCGGTAGTTCCTATGACAGCTAAATAATATCCGATATTAATAAAATGAAAAGTTCTATAATATAAAACTATGTCCAAAAAACTAAACAAATAGCTGTCACTTTTTTTATTCAATTATTTTTTTATTTCATGATATAGTCGTACGATTTGAAATTAACTAAAGCCGTAATTATACAGAAGGACATTGCTAAATCGACTCTACTAGTGATCTAGCCGATCCAAAATATATACTTGATAGGGTCGGATATGTTTCCTTCACTGCGTGCAAGGGTATAAAAATACGATCAATTTGTGCCCAAAGTGAATAATACCCCTTTATTAGACATTTAAATGTATAAACTTACTTTTTAATTTTAAAGTTTAAAGTATTAAATGACACTAGAGAATCTTTTTAAATGGTAACTGAAGATATCTATTTATCGGGGCTAGTTACCCGACTATTAGATACCCGTTACTCTGTTTCTGTCTCCAGCAAATGCCACCAGCAATTCTATTCGCGCGATATGCCACAAAATATAGAAAGAATACACGAAGGCAAAACTGAATGCTCGCAGGGACGCAGCTTTACTTTCCAATAACTTCTTAAATATCATTTCTCTCGACGTTTATTCGGACAGAAACACGGCCAGATCGGCTAGTGATTTATATATGTATTCCGAATAAGGTCGAAATCGTTCTCTTCTACCAGTTACAAACTTTTCAAGGTAAACAGTATAGCCTATTTCCTAAACGAGTAATGGGTATAAATATTTGGTTGTTTGTAAAATAGCCGAGTACTTCAGCGCTCTGATAAGGATGTGATTCATCACAACATGACTAACAGTGCGATACGCTTAAGCAATGTTTTTTTTTGTTGGGGATTACTGATATATAAAATAACATACATTTAATAGTCCCGTCTGAAATACATCAAACTTTATTTGGCTTAAAAGGCCAGATTTAACAGCAAGAATGCAAGAATTCCAAGTGGGAAAAGGCCAGCATATTCCTAGCATGTGCCTCGAAGAACAGCTCTAGTTTTTTAAGGACCTAACAAAATTAATTTTATTTTTCTAATTCAAAAATCAGCCAACTTGTAATGGGCCTAGAAATTAATGGTATTGGTCATCCAATCAATGACCAATCATTGAATTCACTGTCATGATTTTTAAATTGTAAATCTTTTACTATTTTTATACCGTTGCGGAAAGTATTATAATTTCAGTCAGAAGTTTGCAACGCAGTGAAGGAGACATTTCCGACCCTATAAAGTATATATATTCTTGATCAGCATCTCTCCTAGTCTGTATGTCCGACTGTCGGTCCGTCCGTTGCCACGCAAACTAGTCTCTCAATTTTAAAGCTATCTTCTTGAAACTCTGCCAAAAAGTTTCTTTCTATTGCAGGTAGTACATAAGTCGGAACGAGCCGGATCGGGCGACTATAGCATAAAGATCCCATAGAAACAATCGGAAAAAAATAACAAAAAATTATAACTTTGCAGTTTTTTAATTTTTTTAGTTCTTCAACAAATAGTTATGGTTATTTCCTATCTTGTTTTTAATTTAGACTGCTGGTATTTTCAAATTTTATTTGAAATTTTATTTAACTTCAAGCTTAGGATACATTTTCTGTAAAATAGTAAATTTATTGCAACCAAAAACTATTAATTAGGTTATTTTAAATCACTAAGCCTTTCCTTATTTTGGCAATTTTTAAGACTCAGGAAGGAATTATGCTTGGTCGATGACTAAAATGTCACCCTTTATTCAAAACTTTTAAATAAGAAACGTTATAAAGAAATATTTCTTCAGAAACCAATCAGCTTAGACGTGGTCAGCTCACACGATAAAATGAATTGAGTTGTAAGCTTTGTTGGTCTTTTGCTGGTACTGCAATTTAAATAATGCATAAAATGAATTTAGTTGCCAGCCAAATGAAGACGACAGCACTTTCCGGTGTCTGGAGGTGGTGGGTGCGAAGTCATTCGGGGTAAATGGAGCAAATCCTTCAGCAGCTGCAATAAAAATCGAATCATCTTAAGAAAGGAGTGAAATGAAGCGCAGACAAAAAGCCAACCAACTAAGATGGCAACCGATTGTGAGTTTGATGTGACAAAAACTGAACACATTTTGGCCAGGCAATAGTTCTCAGAAATATTTTTGTAGAAAAGAAAGCGGATAGAACTGTTGAGCGGCACGCTAAGCCCCAAACCGGTGGGACCATATATGTACACATAAAATAAATTCTTGTAAAAGGCAACCATTTCTGCAGAAACAACGCTAATACCAATTATTGTTGCCTTAATTTATTGAAGAGTAAATTACTTAAAGTGATTTTGATATAAATATTTTAAGGTAAATTTATCTACGTTTTTTAGTCAAATATTAATTATAAAATATTATTGATACGTTCTTAAAAAAGGTGTGGTGGCACTGGTCTTTAAGTTAGGGCGAAAATATGTGAAGACTAACTTGGTGAACGGAGGGCTAGTATAAAAAGATCAAAAAACAAATTGGATCTTCTAAAATTTGTAGCTACTTTTAACAAGTTATTACACCTAAAAACTTAGTTAGAAATTAGATAATTACAAAATAACTAATGTAAAAATTGATGATCATACGTAAAAGTATCAGTTGTTGTGGTCGTCACTACATTACAAAATATAACAACAAAATAAAGTTTAAAATAACTTTACTGTAAAAATTCGTTGTAGGAGTTTGATAATCTCACCAACAAAAATTTGTTCTGTGTACGGAGCTCTTGTGTGTGTCATTGATATATAGTTCGATCCGTCGATACAGGAAACACGCAGACACACAGGATGGCAATAAAAGTGGTAATGATGTAACGTGGACGAGATAAAAAGTACAGTCGCACGAGTAAACCGGATATGAGTCTGGCCATTAAAGCTGGCAAGTTGTCGACGGTGACACCTTTTTAGCAAATAATGAGTGAAAAAGAAATGTAATCCTAACGATCTTAACATTATATTTTGGTATGCGACTTATTCTTGCATGGATGGATAGGTTAAATGCAATTTGCTCCAATAAAAGCAGCCTGTATTTCGAGCAAGACGACTTACAGTCTACTGGTTAATATCAATATTTTGCCTTTGAGTTACATCGTGCATCTGGTTTAAGTCAATAAGGACTTACTTTGAATAATATTTAACACACCACTTTTAAATGAGACAGCTTAATTTTCTCCTGCACGGATCACATTGCAAAAATGTGTAGTTTGATGGAATTGGTAGGGGCAAGTTCGGAACTCTGAATAAAACTTTATAGGGGTATGTCATCTAATTAAATATATCCGTGTGTAATTATGTAGCCCAGTTTCAACAAATGTGGAAACTAAAATACGAAACATGC